AGCAAACAATGAAAGTCAATTAAACCATAAACAAGTACTTTTGAGATGTCAAAATAGAATAGTCTGTCAGTGTCATATAGTCCTAGAAAAACCTATTTTCAAATTATTAACGTTTTGTTGAAGTATGATGCATACTTGTTGGATGTCGATGGCGCCATTAGAGATGTGCCTTCCTATACCTACCTGTACATATAAAACGATTTTTAATTTAAAATTATATCCTCAAGTTTTTTACTTGTAATGTTTGTTAACTGAATTCCACTAAGTTCCGAAAAACTAAACTCGCTCACAATTATATATCTTGCCTTTGTCCGGGCAATTTGGGATAAAAAAGTGAATGTTAACTAAAAATCACATTTTAAACACTACAGAAACTAATGCTAGTTATGTTTAGAAGTTGTCACTAGTACCTAACGATCAATGAAAACTAGGACTTAAGTTAGTTGCCTATGCGTAACAATAATAACTGACCGTATTTTTATACAAGAACAGATCCAGCAAACTTTACTGGTACACAAGAAGAGACAAGTAGCAACAATAATTTTTCAACAAAAATAAAATGTTTCAATACCAAAAGCCCTAAATAATAACCTTTCGTCGAAAGTTTAAGCAACAAAACAAATAACCAAATACGAACAAGAATTTTAGGTAACTAAACAAACCGAGTACGAATTGAGCTCTTAAATAAATTTCTCGAATACAATGAATTTGAGTTTGAGAGTGCGCGGTAATAGAAAAAACGTGTACCTGTGAATAAACGAAGCGTGGTTTCAAAGAAAACAATATTTATCCTTATTAATTTACATATTTAAAAACAGTTACAAAAGATTTCTTGAATCTATTCTTTGTATTTTTTATGGGATAAGGCGCCAACATGTAGACGGATCGCTTGATAAGAAATCGACGTCACCTATAACCCGCAACACCAGAGAAGTTATTTGTGCGTTACCGGCTTTTGCGAGTTATTAGGTAATAAATTGAGAATGGGGAGGAAGATTGGGTCTCTAGTAATCTCACGCAAGCTTTGTTTTAGGCCGTTTTTGTGGTACTTGGTCTAGCTAGCCCATTTGTGCCGAAGCGTGACTCCCAAATTTCTTCATTTTGACCTTTTGAGGTTGTCATTGCCTTCTTTTTCCGTCCTTCCACATCACACGTCATCCTATAACAAATCTCTTTGTTTTAAATACTTTGTTCACTATCTATGCATCTTCCATCTTTTCTTAAGTCGTCCTTTACCATTCATTTACTACATTTTAGTTCAGTATATATGTTTCATCACAAGATTTTCTTCCCTTCTCATCACATATCCATTATACAGTCGCTACCAATTCAGTTTCTCTGTAATCGATGACATGGATTTATATCATCGTACCTCAATCATTAAAAATATCAAAGCGTTTATTTCAATTTTCAATTAATCCAAATACACATACAGGCACTTTTGAAACGTCAAATATAATTGACTGTCAATCGGTACGTCAGAGAGGGTAATTAAAACCGATAACAAATAATTTAATAAATTTTTGTTGATCCGTCTACGCTCAAAGCAAAAATTTGTTGAATATTATAATTTCATGTTGCAATTTCAAAAGGACCAGGTTTCCCGATGATAACTAAATTACTCTGCACTCGAACATGATGGAATTTATAAAAAAAAAATTCGAGATTCGTGCATGCAGTTTTTTAATCTGTATTAAATTTATTAAGCTCATTCGCCTTTGCGTCAAAGGTAACGTGTAAGTTTTTGTACTTGTTTCGCTGCTATCTACATATAGGTATTTCAGATCGATAGCGTAACATCAGTCACACCTTTTAAAGTATTCGACAAAAAATATACGGATGCGGACGGGATTAAAGTATTCCGCGAAAATTAAGTTTTCTTTGTTTTTCGCATTTTACAGCTCTTATTATTGAAAAGTATGATGAAAAGTTTATCACATCAGCATATAGGTGCTTTTTTGTGAAGGAATAATTATCAAATGACTTCTCCCGCCTAGGGCCGGGCGGGAGGAGGTGTCAGACTCTTACTGACAAAAACCCCCCTGTTCCTTCTCCTGCTTTGGTCCGAGGTCGCGGTGCCTCATTGCGCTTACCCCGCAACCCCGGCTATAAGTGCTTACTGCTGATAATAAAGCCCTTTTCTCTCGTCGAAAGGAATGAGCGTCAATAACAAGCCTTGCTTAAGAAGGATTAGCAATTGCAAACTTATGATTTAAAATTATAAGTCCAGGTTTCTTCACGATGTTTTCCTTCACCATTTATTGTGCCAGATGTATCGAAACAAACATAGAGTCATATTGGTAGTAACCAGATTTCGAACCTCCATCCTCACGTATTAGAAGCAGATGCCTTAACCTTGAAGCCATTACAAATTATTATATTATAATGCATGCAAGATAACTCCACGCCATGCCAGTTCAAAGGTATCAAATGTACCAATTTGGTAAAAAATTCATGCCTATGTTAGAGAAACATATAAATACATACATGTAATTAACGTTAATGTAGGCATGTTTTGATCCAAAGCAAATTGTAAAAAGCTACCTTAAAGTATCCTCCTGAAACTCGCTACTCCCGCACTGAATACCACCTGCTTAGCTCTTATTGATCGTGGCGTTATGTTTCATATAGCCTTCGCTGTACCCTTAGCGTTCCTGGATAATTAGTTTATCCAACAGTATCTATAAATATACATTTAAATAAAATCAAATCTTATTTAATTAACTCTTCGATCTCTTAGTGATGAAATTTGTATTTTTAGTTACTGTTTTATGGAATAAGTCGGCAAACGAGCGAACGGATTACCTGATGGTAAGAAGTCGGCGCCGCTCATGGACATCCGCAACGCCAAATGATTTAAGAGTGCGTTGCCGCCCTTTTGGAGATAAGATGAGATGGGAAAGGATAGGGGAGGGGGAGGGATTAGGCATTCGGAAACCTCACTCACACGGCGAAACACAACGCTATGGTTGTTTCACGCTGGAACTGTGAGACCGTGGTATCAGTCCAGTCAAAAAGCTTATATTCATTCGTAAGTCTGAACATTTTTTCGTTCCATTCGATAGATGTTACGTGTTGGCTATCCAATTTATCACACTGTAAGGTACATTGACTAATACAATTATTCTAGCTAGATAATAGCATTTTCTTTTAACTTAAAAAAAATGTAGGAGTATCCATGTATATAAATATAATGTAAATAATGTATATAAATATATGTAATAATGTATATATATATCTACGTCCCCGCTAATGCCTAGTTACGACGGAATAGAGTTCAAAGTATCACTGCTATTTTTAAAACGTTTATTATGTCTTATCAGTGTGGCGTATAAAATCGCGTTTTAAGTATGGAAGAGCCGTGCTTCGGCACGGATGGGCCAGAAAACCGGCGTGAAACAACGCTACCGGATGCCTTTTCCTATTCCTCGAATCTCTAATCCTTAAATCTGCAACAACCTACAAAAAGCCGATATCGCACTTGTAAATCTTTTGGAATTACCAGTGTCCATGGTTAGCACTGATTGCTGAATGAAGCCCATAAAAATCAGCAGAAACTATGTATGTATGTTTTATCAAGTGTCACATATTTTAGAATGTTTTGTCATGTTTAAATTTTTTAATCTTTCTTTATAAACTTAATTGAAATTAAACTCATTTTGCTTAATCATATTTGGTACAAAATAAATTGAAAATAACGTAGCGTTTATTAATATCGGGATTGGCACAGAATAATTAAGAGCGCTATATCAATTAGGTTATTTTGGCGACAATAGCTTACGCTCCATTGAAGCGTCAGGGTTATCAAGCAACATATAAAAAGATCGCTTAGTATGGTAGAATATAGGACACGGAATAATGATATACATTGTATTATTTTTCGATACGTATTTCACACCAAATTTCTTCGAGTTATTAGGTGTCTGTTCACACACAAACACACACACACACCAAAGGCACACCCAAACTCTCTCTCCCTCTCTCTCTGTCTCTGTCTCTCTCTCTCTCTCTCTCTCTGTCTCTCACTCCCTCTCTATCCCTTTCTCTCTCTCTCTCTCAGACACAGACACGCACATTATTTAGATATTAATCTAACTGGTATATTTAGGTAGTATTACTGTTTAAGCTATATTATTATAGTAAACTTTACGTACAATATAGTGTAACTAAATAAAAATATTATCATTTATTTACTACCATTCGTAGAATTTGTTAAATAATCGTTACAGAAGATAATTTATTGCGTAATGTTCTCCATCCGTGGACAGGAATAAGGCATTTATTGCAAACCACTGTAATTGTATAATGGTGGCCTGCGCTATTCTGCATTGAAGACTTGTATTAAAATAAGGTCATGATTCACTATAAAATAAAACATAATAATAATATATTAAAGCAGATATTGATGATAAAAGTTAGTTACATATATGTTAGTATAATTAAAGTTTCTAAATAATAAAAGTCTTGGCAATGCCCATAAAACGAACAAGGTCGAAAAACAAAAACAGTATCGAAAATTCAACATTCATACTATTTTTGTAAAATGTTTGCAAAACCACACGTCACAAATGCAGACAACGCACTGTCTAGTTCTTATTATCGATTGGGTGCGGGTCAATGACCCATATCATGAAATGTGCTTATTATTTAATACAGAATACAGACAGACACCCCCCACTCTCCCCACCTCCAAGACCCATTTGGAAAGTGATTACTAACTTGTAAATATTTTATACATGCAAAATGGTGGTTTTAGAATTGACCTGACTTAAATCAATAAGGGGAAACTTTGCTGTCATTTCTTTGACCTCTTATTAATGTCACATTACTGTTTCTTTATTTGTTATTAAAGAAATAAGACTTGTTTATCATGTTTATTTACTTTGGTACTTATTCTCGAAAGTTCACCCAGGCCCGGAGGAGATATTAGGTGATTTTCACCTCCCAAAAAAATAGAGCGCACACAGAAAATGTTACTAATTATATTGTTTTGTCCTTAGATACGTGACCATTTGACTCCGTTGGAAATAATGGGATCATTACTAGCGGCGATCGCCCACGATCTGGATCACCCGGGAGTAAACCAGCCGTTCCTCATTGCTACCTCGAACCATCTCGCCACTTTGTACAAGGTAAGTTTTATACCACATCACATCATTAGCCTTTAAATACCTTCTGCTGAACAAAGCCCTCTTCTCACACGGAGAAGATTAGCGATTGCAAACCTATAATTAGAAATTAAGTGTGGGAGAGCCATGCTTCGGCACTAATGGGTCGGCTCGACCGGAGTGATACCACGGCCTCACAGAAAACCGGCGTGAAATAACCACTGCGTTGTGTTTCGCCGTGTGAGTGAGGTTACCGGAGGCCCAATCCTTCCCCTTCCCCAATCCCTCCTCAATCCCTAAATCTCCAAATCCCTAATCCCTAAAAGGTCGGCAATGCACTCGTAACTCCTCCGTTGCGAGTGTCCATGGGCGGCGCTGATTGCTTACCATCAGGTAATCCGTCTGCTCGTTTGCCGACATATTACATAAAAAAAAAAAAAATTATAAGTTCACACGTTTAAGTGTGGGAGAGCCATGTTTCGGCACGAATGGGTCGGCTCGACCGGAGTGATACCACGGCCTCACAGAAAACCGGCGTGAAATAACCACAGCGTTGTGTTTCGCCGTGTGAGTGAGGTTACCGGAGGCCCAATCCTTCCCCCCCCCCCAATCCCTCCTAAATCTCCAAATCCCTCATCCCTAAAAGGTCGGCAATGCACTCGTAACTCCTCCGTTGCGAGTGTCCATGGGCGGCGCTGATTGCTTACCATCAGGTAATCCGTCTGCTCGTTAGCCGACCTATAAAATGAAATAAAAAAAAATTGCGGTGTCTAAATAATCATAGAAAGTACATATATCTCGGAAAATCTCACATTACTATTTGCCAGGTTTCGAACCCTCATGCATGAGAAGCAGGCGCAACCTTCAGGCCACCACGACTATAATATGAACGCATGATTCATGTATATCAATATCTCTGTATTAGTCATTTTTACTTGTTAAGACAATACCTACCAAATAAAGGAAATAGAATCTTAATTCATATGAACTATCTCATCAAAGTCAAAATCAATTATTTCAATTAGACCATTTCAAGTAGGCACTTTTGAACGTCAAGCAAAAAAAAGGAAAAAGTATTTCAAGAACTTTAAAATTAAGCGTGTCAGTCTGTCCGTCTGTCCTTTAGTGAAGCTATTTGCTCGTTCCAAAGTGTAGATTCCTATGGAGAAGAACGAGCAAGAAACTCCATGGAAGCTCCATCTAAATTTCGGAAATGTACCTAAGTAGAGGTGAAATGTTCCATATAGAGCGACTATATATTGTAATGACTGCATCCATTTTTACAACTTTATTGGTCCATTCAGCAAATTTCCATTAGAAACACGATATAGTATTCTATTTCATTTCTTTTAAAAGAAGATTCTACAATATGAATGTGTCCCGTGACTCCGTACTATTTGAACTCTCCCGTTTTGGTATAGTACCTGACATTGCAATACATTCTCATCACCCTTCACGGAAAACAGGTTTTCCCTTGTTGACTATTACATATTTGCTTATACGTTTACTTTAAAAATATTATTTTATTAGATTAAAGTAAGGCTTTACCTTTCATTTAAGCAATTTAAGTAAAAATCTTTTCAATCACCAATACATACCACTTCAATATGGTACTGAAAATTATTATTTGTATGTTATGTACTACCAAATTGATTAGAAAACGTTAATCTATTATGTGACTACTAAATATGTAAAGAGATTTTGTATTACAAGTGTGGGAGAGCCAAGCTTCGGCACGAATGGGTCGGCTCGACCGGAGTGATACCACGGCCTCACAGAATACTGCCGTGAAACAACCCACAGCGTTGTGTTTCGTCGTGTGAGTGAGGTTATCGGAGGCCCAATCCCTTCCCTTCCCCTATCTCTTCCCAATCCGCAACCCCCATCCTCAAAAGGCCGGCAACGCACTAGTAACTACTTTGGTGTTGCGGGTGTCCATGGGCGGCGCCGATTGCTTACCATCAGGTAATCCGTCTGCTCGTTTGCCGACTTATATCATAAAAAAACACAGACATACTCATAATGACTGCAATTAAACCGCTGAACCGAGCTACAGGTTTGAACCCCTTTGTTTTAAAGACTAAAGATCTTCAAGCTAGCATTATTTTTCCTTTCTTTGACTTGGAACGTGTCTTATGATGGTTCTTACAGGAGACTCGCAGATTTTTTTCAATACCACATCACGATTTCGCTTTATATTTTGATCCATCCATCCCACCACAGTAAACTAAAAATGGCAACATTCGAATGACAAAGCTTAAAAAATAATTATTTCTTTGTCCAACGAACAAATCCAATTTGAGATGTGTCAATATTATCTGTCCCAAAAAGACCTAATGCCTTTACTTCCGATAACCGTATTTCGAATGGCTCCCCGGTCGTATTTCACTGAATCGAAAATACGTCCACGCCTCACGGCCTAAGTGCTTGCCCAAATTTTCTCCGAGTTATGGTCAGGCTTTAATTTTTGAATTGAATTATTTCCAATGCCGAAAGCTAATTGACAGGGTACTTCAAATGCGGTTACGTGAACTGTCCCGTCTAACTAAAACTGTTGTTCAGAACTATGTAAATGTTAGGAAAGCTCAACAAATTATGGTACATTAAATTTGACGAGCACGGTAACTGATAGGTTGAAGTTTGTTCTAGAGAGCTCGCTGTTTTGCCATCAATAATTTATACTGCTTCATTTCAGAATGTTTAAGTATTTTAGTGGATTGTCGCTCTTCATTGTATTTACTCTTAGCTTTAGGAGTACTTATCAGTCACCTGTCTAATTTCCGCCATATAATACGGTAAGCACGTGGTATCCAGTCTTCAGAAAAGCATTAATGCCGCACAGAGCGCTTCATTTAACAAGGTTAGATGCAAGAGGAAATAATTGCGTAAAGAATATTCGCAGACTGCAGAAATCTGAGCGGAATCAACAATTTAATTATTCGTTTTTAATCTTAAGTGTTAAGGATAGTTCTTAGTATTTATGTTGGAAGTTACTAAGGTCTCATATCATAAAAGTAGTAGTCCGACCTTGTTCCGACTCTCGTCCATTCCTTACGCCATCACCATTAAATTGATGGATGAAGCTTATAGAACAAAGAGTTACAATTCTACTTTATACGTACATTGTGTGACAGTTGATAAATGCGAAATGTGAATGTAATATGCAAAAGCATATTCAGTTTATCATTTTGTATGTTGTCACAAAATAATATTACCCGTATATTTACCTAAAGCTTTTCACTTTGTAGCATTTAACAGTCAGTCTCCATACACAGTTTTCTTTGAAAATGACATAATTATTAATTTTCCGCCTTGAGTCGAGACGCAAAGCCGGATATTTGATGTCCTCCACGATGCGGTAGACCAAATCACTGACCTCTGCATCCGCAGCATTTCTGTATATCATGTTATAAATGGAATACTGGTTTATAATATAAGTGTTCATACTAGTATTCCATTCATTTCTTAGTAAAACATTTCCACGTGCATTGAATTTTACTATTAGGAATATTATTACTATATGAATATTACTGGTAGAATTTCGTTTTTGGTAGTCGCTATTTCAGTTGCGGTTTTCTACTTGTTATTCTCAAAGCGATATTTGAAAAAGCAAAAATATTTGAAACTCGATCTTTCGTTGATGGTTATTTGTAAAAATAAAAATAAAATATTTTATTTACCAATAAGAGTTCGTTATTCAAACAGAAATCCGTTAAAGTACCTCTTGTAAACTGTTAGACCTTCCTACGCAAATCAAATAAATTAAATTAACATTGAGAGACGAAACTCAACTATTAAATTGTGAACATAAACTCTCTCCTAATATCGTTGTGTACTCATAAAATAAAAGCTTTTAACTAACAATAAACAATTGAATTTAGAAAAGTGAGTGGTAAAAAGAAAATAGATGTTACATATTTTTCCGGAACATCATAATTATAAAGAGAAACTAACTGAGATCTTTTTTTTTTTGTAAGGAGCGTAACATCGAACTACTTCTCCCGCCCGGGTGGGGCGGGAGGGAGTGTCAGGCTCTTGCTGCCTAAGATCCTCTCCGTTCCTTCTCCTGCTAAGTCAAAGTCAAAGACGGCCCTTTCCAGGCCCTTTTGTACGGGAAACAAAGATTAAAAGATAAAAAATTTCATTGTGTCGGTCAGTCCCCTAGTAAAGCAATTTGCTCGTTCCAAAGTGTAGATTTCAAAGGAGAAGAACGAGTAATAAACTCCATGGTTACTATAAGTCCTACAAAATAGAGAAAAATCCGATTACCGTGGATCAACGTGTGCCTGGAAATACGGTTTATTCATTTCACAGGATCAGAGAAACCTTTGAGTTTCCACAGCGGTCGTTTAACCAGCTAGCGCACAACCCAAACAAACCAAAATGAAATCCATTTGAGAAACATATTATATGAGATTTTATTTAATGCATTCCACATACACGCAGTTGCAATACAGTTTAAATTACACATTGATAACAGTACAGAAATTCTAAGAAATGATATCATATGATATTTCAATGAAAACAAAAAACAATCAATCATTTTATTTGTTTATTATTTATGCACAACTTTATACAGTATATAGAAAACAAATAGAGAAATAAAGGCATACACATAGGTACTGCACATACTGGAATCTCTTATTGCAATCATTCGGTAAGAAAAATGTAGGCGACACAAGATACTATGTGACGAAGTGAAAATAAAAGCTATAAAATAAACAAATATCTCATTTCCAGACTAAAACGCGTTAGGTGTCAATGTTAAGTGGGGGAAGTGACTTAAGCTATCGCGTATTACACCGATTATGTTTTTCGGTATTCGATCTGCCGAGAATATTGATTGAAAATATGATTTATGAACCTCTCGACACTTTTAAAAGTCGTTCAAGAATTCTTTTTAAGGCTTTTTGCTGCTAATTAGCTGTCACGTTTTAACGTCGCAAGAAAATAAGATCCATTTTATATAATATACACTAGGATTCCGGTCTCCGTGAGAGCTTTATTCAATTAACAACAGCTTACCTGTAAAAATAAACTACGTGGGATAAAATTTAAGCTTTCCAACATAAATTTAACGCCACACGTGCATGTTAACGTCGAAAAAGTCTGAGCTCTAAAAAAATCGTTTTGGCGAACGCGTTTTTCGCCGCGCTACGTGTCAAAAGGAATCAAAGGCACATACGAGGTGCTTGTGGCCTGACCTACCACAACATGACACACGTTTCGTCACTAAACAGTGCTGACGTCAACAACAAATGTTTTTTATCTGTAATAGTAACTAGTGGGCACACCGCACTGCGCGCTTTCGTTACGGCGGCGGAGTCAGCTAGCTATCTATGTGTTTCTCTTCTGACACTATCTGAGCAAAAGTATTCATGTATGATATTCTGTCGTAATAAAGGCTGATTACAAACTATAATCCCACTGTCGATTCGTAGAGAATAACTAGTTCCATCATCATCGACTACGTACTACCGAAATAGTCGGACGTAACACTAGACATGTCATTTGGCTTAGGGTAATGGGTATCGCCTACGGTGATACAAAGCCGTCCTTTGACAACGCAACGTCGCTCCATGTCGATCATTAATATGTATGAATTTGTTCACTTAACATGATAATTGGTTTAATTTGAACTCTTGGTGCTTCTGAAACAAGCTGCATGTTCACTTGGCTTACCTTCATAGCCTAACTTTTACTTTGAAGTTTTGAAACTCATCACCATCATCGTTATAATCAGCCTATAAGCTCCCGATGTTGAGCAGATGCCGCTTCTCATTAGCAAAAGGAATGACCATCAATATCCAAGGTCAAAGCGGATTAGTGATTTCAAACATGATAGAAATCATAAGTCTAAATTTCCTCTAGACGTTATTCTTCACGCTCTTGCAATTCTTGCAGATGTTATTCTGAGACACATCCAGATCGAAAAAAAAAATTTCCAACCAGCACCGTCATTTATGACGGGCTTCTACGACGTGTCAAGTGTCATAGCATTTCCTAATTCTTGGAAAATCTAGATAAGTTCTGGGAACCTGTTGAATCAAGAAGTCATGTGACCGAACTCGCTAACCTTTTCTCTTTGATCATCGATGCGCAGATTAATTGCGGGAGCTCTCCGTCACCAAAATATTCAGCGCTCTCGAGGGTAATGCGAGTTCACAGATACAGATATAAACCCCAACTGAACATAACGATTTTCGAGAAACCATTCACTGGAACATTGGATAAATAGTTGCTATTTCCAAAACCTGTGTTGGTATTGTACGAAAATCTCTTGTAAAATAGTTAGTATTGTAGAAAACCGTCGCCGGAGCTAAGTCTCGACACGTGCTTCCAAATGCTTGGGTAATTTTGGATACACGTCCTTTGTACTTCAACGGTAACCCGTCCTTGAATGATAGGCGCGCTGAAAAGGCGGGACGGAAAAATGTGTTCATACATTGGACTCAGAAGGATTATAAAGATTTGTTAAGTATCTTAGCATCGAATACCTAACCATTTATTTTCAAGGTTTCTCTCTATTCCTTGAATACGTCCTACGAATATGAAACAAATTTACATTTATTTGAAATATTTTTTTTCTATACAGAACACTTCGGTGTTAGAAAACCACCATTGGCGCTCGGCGATGAGCTGCCTCATTGAAAGCGGCCTGTTGGACCAGCTGCCGTCCAGCTCTGGGCTGCGCGCCACGCTAGAGAAACAGATCAGCTCCCTGATCCTTGCCACCGACATAACCAGACAACAAGAGTACCTGAACCACTTTAAGGTAAGTTTAACTTTAATTCGTGGGAAATTGTCCCAAGTCTACATTATACAACGTCAAATTGCCTCGCCATTGCCTCGCTAGCGCCGATAGGAAACTAAAAATTACAGGGTAACGGTTGCAACCGCACAATATTAACATCAACTTGCGAAAATTAGTCGTAAAACTTCTAATTTCAGTGGTCATCAGAGACGTCTGAAGAGTTTCTTCATTCTTGATATTTCAGGCTGTGCGTAACATTTCAAATCGTTTTTATGTGGTAGCCGCAAGATGGTGCTGTCCTTATACTTATTTGAAACAGTCTCATATGAAACTACAGATTTTAAGTCACACAAATTCTGGGTCATGACAAGGACTTAGAAATCCTTTGAGAATTAGTTTTAAGTATCTGTTCATGTTGATAGGTGTGTAAAGTTTGATAGAGACAGCCTCGTTGACGTCATGATGCTCATCGATATCGATACCGAACAGTCACGTCTTATATTCTCAACAACTTTATTATTTTAATGCAAAGTTTTACTTCGAGTCCGAAATTAAGCAAACAATGCATAAGCCTAAGAACGTAAATGGCATACTTAAAGTAACTGTTCGCCATCTGTTTGTACCCTGAGGGAGAAATATACATAATCCTATGAGTTGTATATAAACAGGTAAGCTTCGCCTGCGGGTTTACGTTGGATCAGGCATCGATATTATTTCGGGATGTGCTCTATACACTCCGTACCTGGGGTCTAAGTAAAGTGGGCTCGAGTTGTCTTCATTTGACCTACGCCCTGGCATCCATTATCGTTTGCGGCAAACATGCCATTTCGTATATACTTAGATTGCTTTTCATCGTGTACATACGATATTTGGAATAAAATAAGTCGTAAAATTAACAATTTATTTTATAACTAGCGACCCGCTCCGGCATGGCACGGGTGTAATGCTGATACAAAATCTCTCCACTATTTAATAGATGTTATATGCATATAAACCTTCCTCTTTAATCGCTCTATCTATTAAAATAAACTGCATCAAATACCGTTGCGTAGTTTTAAAGAGTTAAGCATACATAGGGATCTAGGGACAGAGAAAGCGGTTTACTACTTAATAAATATAATTTTCAATTCAGTCGTACTTAGTAAGTATAATATATTTATGTTGATCAAAATAGAATATTCGCGTTACCTAAAGAGTTGTTCTAAAGAAACATAAATGAAAAGTATTAAAACAGTTCTTGTAATTTCTACATAAATATGCCTACAATTATATTCCAACTCTGAACCAATTATATTCTACAAGTTGCTATTCGAGCAGTACATAAAAGTTTGCTAACAACATATATTTTTCGAGATTGTCACGTTACTTTTACACTCAATTCCTAATAATTTGGTATATTGTGCCTTCGGAGTCTGATACGATACTATTCTTACAAATATATTGAAATTAAAACATTTTATCATTCTTGTGTTTTTTTTTTGTTAAATTTTATATTGTTCTCCGTATTCTAAGAACCAAGGAGGTGGGTGCTCAACCAGTACCATCTAGAGACCAAATTTAAATAAGGAAAATAAGAAAAACAAATGTCATCATTAACATTGCCTTTTTACTCAAAAGTAAGCAGGTCTATTCGTCTTAATTTGCACAATTTAAATGTAATAATTAAACTTCCAGTAATCTGATATTGGTTCTATAATACCAAAAACAAACTCCTTCGTAACGTCAACAATCACAAAATAAGGCCCTAAGGCTCACATAAAATCTGGGTGTCGTGGATTGAGCGACGATACCCGGCCACCTTAGGCGCGGTTCTGCGGAGGGCGAGCAAGGCTAGCTCGCCGCCTGACCAGAACCGGACCAGCTGAAAAGGCCAAATATAGAACACCACAAATGGGGCTCATTATTGTCAATGCTTAGCCAGGATCCCGGGGCATGCGCAATAAAGTACCACGACCTTGGCCTAAAGCAGGAGAAGGATTTTAGTCAGTAACATTCTGACACTCCCTCTCGCCTTACGAGACTGCGACTTAATTTTCCCTCTACAAAAGGCTAAAATAAACACGACATCCACAATCCAGTCATTAAATGAGGTGACAAGTGAATTTAAAAAGGAAAGCTAATTTCATAAAACGATCCAAAACAACAAAAATACTGGAAAAATCTTCGCCATTTATAATCGAAATACATGGAAGAGAGAACTCATTAAAATAAGTATTTCGAGTACGAAATTTAATATATCTTATTTGGTTCTCGATGTAGGTACGAGTAGGTATCCGACCTTTTTGCCGGTGATTTTCCCTATATTGATATTTGAGAACACTCATTACAGGATACCGTTGCTAATTATATTTTAGTAATGATCTATAGGCAAAACAATTTTGATTGGAAGTCTAATTAGTTTTATTGTAATTGCTCTGTGTTTGTATGGTATGCTTCCTAGGCAGTTGACGTCAGGCTAGTGTAGCTAGATTGATCTACCGGGCAGCCAAAGGTGTCTGATTGCATGCATTGTCCCACATCCCGCCTGTGATTACAGAATCAGATTAGTTTATGGCATAAATTAATTATATTTTGGCTCATTTATTATTTAAAAACGTAATCGTTTATTGTTTTTTTATATAAATTTTGATTTTAAACTGTTCTATCCGTAAATAGCTGCTCACCGATTAGTGATTTCGTACAAAAAATGTTTTTGTTGATTTGCAAATACTAGTATATTACATACTCGGATCTCCTGTAAAAAAATTGTTCTTTAACAAATTAAATTAAAGTCTTGACGACAAATTAAGAATGTAAACTTCAAGGCTCAACATCAGTAAAAGTTGGGTTACTTGTAACGTTAAAGCACCGTTACCTCTTTGATGAACCCAAGATAGATTAATGACGAATTTAAAGTTCTAACATACATTTGTATAATAAATGAGCAAGTTATCTTTATAGTAAGCAAAGCTATAATAAACAACACAAAACAATGCGTAAAAATACACTGGAGAGTCTGCAAAGCAATTAGCATCCATCCATCCAATTACTTAATCCAAAGTTTGAAGTAGAGGAATAACTGATAGACGCAACGTCCGCGTTGTTATCGAACATTGCAATAGTTTGGCGATGGTTTAAATTGCGACCGAGTTCGACCATTTGCTCTAAACTGCATTGATTGAGAATTCTCTTAATGAGTAGCTCAATTTCTGCTCAATTATGTCAAGTCATTATCTGTACTAGTAAGTCTGTATGTAGAGGGTAATATTTGGTACGGCTGGTCAGATTTCCAAAAAATCTTTCTCTGATAGATAGCTACAATATTTCTAAGTGCTATAGGCTATAACAACATCACTTTACGACAAATAGGAGCTGAGCAGCTGGAGAAACTGCGTGGCAATAACTAGTACTCACATTAAACACACTTAAGAAGGTATATGTAGTGTATGTGCTTCTTTCATTTTAAATACTTGCAGCGTTTCTATAACGATCAATTATAAAAAAAAATGAAGTGTAGATTCAAGAATTTGATAACAGTTCTTTGTAGCAAAATCAAGAAGTGAATTTCTCGACCTCAGTCTCTCAAGGACCTTTCGTCTCGCCTGATCCCACGGTTCTTTGGTAGTCGTTTCTTTGAAGGGATTTCGAGAGGTCTTACTTAAAAGCAGTATTCAGATTCATCATTAGATATTCCATGTATTACTTCTTATACAAAGGAAAATAAAATAACGAAGTCACAATATTTATTTGTGAAAATATATAGAACTTAGATATCAGTCCATTAATAGTACATGTATACATGTATTTTTTATATACCTCAATTAATAACTTAAGATTTCATTGCAATTAGAAATACTGTAATAATTATTATAATTTCTTAATCTCTTATTAGTCTCTTAAACCGGGCTTTAGTTACTGTAGTAATACGAATCTAATATTTAAATTCACTTTATTCCATTGTGATTCTCCATATACTTTTTGATATGATTGCGATATTAAACCAAGACTTAAAGCAAGGTAGAAAAACTTCCTTGTAAATAAATCACGGAAGATTTGAAAAAATAAAATCTACAACTAATTGATATGGACGAAACTATCACTATCAAAATCAGAGCCATCAATAAAAGCTATCAGACCGAACTATTTTTGTTACATTTGAAACAGTAGAATGCTTTTATTCCCGGCGCTGTCCAACAGGCTTAGTTTAACTAAATAAATGTGTAACTAGGTACGAGTAAATCTAAGTCACTTCGACTGTATGTTGGACTGTGGTCGGTCACTAACTAAAGTTAGATGTGACCTTCCCGACTCTTGACTGGTGATGCATCAGTTATAAGATGCAATTGCTCCGTGATATTGAATATTCATGATTTCAGCTAAGATATTCCAAACAGGGTAAATTAGTACCTAAATGCGCCGCTAACGTCCGTATAAAGAATTGACAATAACGCAGGTGAAATAAGTGCCGTTTTTTTTTAATAAAGTAAAGGTGAAACGTGATCTACTCCGATTCACGTGGTCACCGTATTTCTATGCTGTCTTTTAAGTTAGAGAGGACTTCCTCATTCATCTTTTCGAACTTAAATTGGTATAATTTTTAAGATCTTTAATGAATGAAATTTGGTCTAAATCGATATGAAATTCAGGTTGCAACGATAAATTTATATGCGCTTCGTTTTTTGGCCAGTATTCAATTATCCAAACTAATATTATAAATGCAAAAGTATCTCTGTTTTCTTCACGCCGAAATTTGGTACAGATATAGTAAGAAACTCGAGCATAACATAGGATAGGTTTTATACCAAAAATCTGCAGGAAGTCACTATTTCACGCGAACGGAGTCTCAGGCAAAAGCTATCTAAATGTCTATCTGTAGATTCGAAACCAATATCGAGTTAATCACGAACATGTAATACTTTAAGTGAGCGTGATTTGGAAAGCAAAATTGTCTCTCTCTGTCTCTCTAAAGTATTATTCGATAATGCACCTAATTAAATTTAAAACCCTAATATACTGAGTATAAGTACCAAATCTCATTGAAA